CCCACAGCACCCGGACAACGCCACGGCGTCAAAGGTAGGAGAGAGCCGAGCCCTGGGGGCTGCCCCACTCCTGCAACGAGCTTGTGAGTGCTCTGCTGAGCCTCACTGTCCCTGGGAAAGAGGGAAACCCTCCCTGCCCCCCACCCCGGCACATCTGCCGAGGCACCCTCAGCAAAACATCTGCAGCAAACAGGAAACATTTGCTTTCCAAAACATCTGGAATTCTCCAGTTTTCTCATGGTCTCCCAGCAAGTCCCAAAGGTGACCTCGAAACAAGGCGGGGGACTGGTGGGGCATTTTTCAGTGCAAACCCCCCGCGGCAGCACAGGGCTGTCCTGGCCCGCCGCACCACGCAGGGGCACCCGCGGCCAACACCAGCACCGTTTCCCAATCCCCACGTTCAGCAATTTGGGTTTTTTTTTTTCCCCCCGGCCATTCGCACAGGTTTCATTTTGCTGCTGTCAGAGCTAGCAGAGGCCTGAGGGCAAGAATAACAATTTTACTACAGGGAAGGTGGAAGTCCGTTCCCCAAAGCTCCCCTTGCAAACCCAAAAGCTCCCACTGCCCTGCCCCTCTCTCCCCGCAGCTGCTCGGGACATGGCTGTACGTGGCCGGGGCCGCCCAGTTCCCCCGGCACCTCCCGGGGATGCTGCTCATTGACCACGGCCACCTCTGCGTGGAACCCAGCACCAGGGAGCAGGAGCTGCTCATCACCCAGCACGTGGCCATGTAAGGTGCCCCCTTGGCTCGCTCTGCCCCTGCCCACCCCGTCCCACACGCTGCAGCCCCCACAGCCCTTTCAACATCAGATACGAGCATGGTTCCAGACCCATTTTCCCAAGGACAGAGTCTCTCCTGGCTGCTCCGTTTGTGCTCTCCCATCCCCTCTTCTTCACCCTTTCTTTTATTTATTCAACAGCACCCGGGTTCAGGCAAATTTTGCAGGGCACAGAGGTCTTGCAGGCACCAACCCCTGCGGGTGTGGAGGACACAGGACACAGACAAGGAGATGACCTCTCCAGCAATCCCTGAACTGTGGTTGCTAACTGCTGGGCACCAAAAGCTCTTTCCACCCCAGGGTCAGACTTTGAGGGGATGAATTTTTCTGTGCCAACACAGGCAGCTCTTTGCAGCTTCAGTTATTTTGGGGAGGAAAATATCTCAGCACCCTTCAGCCAGGCAAGGCTGAGAGCAGGAGCTGCAGGTGGAGGTCAGACAAACACACATGAGAAAAGGCTTATTTTAACAGCGAGAGGAGGAGCTGGCACAGCCAGGTTCCCATCCCATGGCCGGGAGCACATGACCTGTGCGGCACCAGGGCCAGGTCTGGGGTTTTGCTGGTCCTTTCCAGCCCATGGTGGGGGATCTTTGCTCTCCTTCCCCGCATCATCCCCTTCTCCTCTCTTTTTCCAGTGGGGACCAATGTCTCACCAACAATTCCACCTACTTCGAAATCACCGCCGGTAACACCACGCTGGTGAGGCACGGTGAGTGGCACTGGACGGCACAGCCATCAGGGTTATTGCTCAGTCCAGTTTTTGGACAGGCTGAGACACACAAAAGGTCAGTGTCGATGTTTTACATCATCTGACATGTTTTATTCCTGGGTTGCTTTGTCCATTTGAAGCCCCGGTGGACTCCGAATGGCTCCCCAGGGCCAGAGGCACCCCAGGCCATCCCCTGGGATGTGCTGGGTCACAGCCCCACAACCGAGATGTGTTAGAGCCCACGAAGCAGCGCCGTGCCAGGAGCAAACCTGCTCCCATCACAAGGAAGGAGACCGCCTCGTCTGTAAAGTTATTTCACAGTCCCTCACTTCCTCCTCGCCGAGGAAAGGGGGTGAAGCCATTTGGGGTGGGAATTGCAAACCCCAGCGCCACGGTTTGCACTGACCCAGCCAAGTCAGCATTGCTGTGAGCAGGGGATGGTTTCTCCCCATTTTGCAGTCCCCCAAGCTGCAAGGTCGGGCACCTGGGGCCAGGCAGACCCGCTCATACCCCAAGCACCAGCAAGCCACACTGTCCAGGACACAGTGACAGTAGGACAGGAGTTGGGTGGCTTTGGCTCCCTCACACCCCAGGCCCACATTTACAAAACACAATTCACGTAAACCCAGTGCCAAACAACTCCCACCATGTCAGATCCCAGGGGCTACGGGCACTGCCCATAGCTGGGGTGCTGTTTATCGCTGCTGCAGAACAGTATCTGAATATCGTGGCTGTTCCCAACCCTGATTCTGTTCTCTCAAAGCCAAGACCCACGAAATCATGGGGACTCTGATGAACCTCAGCTCTGAAGATGTTTTACTCATCCAGTACCAACTGCAGAGGGAAAGGACGTATTTGGGACTGTATCTCTACGGTACGCAAACTGCATCCTAAAGTAACTTAAAGCTATCGTGGGACACCAAAGCACACACGTAAAATTACTGGCTACAACCACGCAGCAACTTGGTTTCACCAAGTCAGTGATTTTTCCGGAGACTGCTGCTCCAGGGGTCACGGGAGCATTTACAAATCCCATTAAAACCAAAATCTCTTGGCAGAGCTGAAAGACCAAGTTAAAGACAAAACCCACTTACGCCATAAATATTCAAAGAACAGGAAGCAAACACAATTCAGCATCAATATCATTGTAAAATCTCTATATTTTCAAGCCAACCAGGATTTTTCGGTACTTACCTCCCAGGGCAGAGCACGTGGCTTTGCAGTACTGGCCCAGACAAAGCCGATCAGATCTACCCACAACCCCATAAAGCAGCATTTTAGACCTCGACAAGGCTTCCCATTGCCCTTCCAAGCTGCAACACAGGTGCTTGGAAGACACATATAGAAAACTGCCTCCATATTCAGCCTCGGTCCCTCCCGATGCCCCAGGAGTATCAGGTTATCCTGCAACCCCTTGAAGCAGACAGGACCAGAGCTAAGTGGAGAGAGGGTTCACAAAAGCAATGCCCGAAGTTGAGTTTGTTCACCATGGGGTTGAGAGAGCCCAGCAGACATCACGTCCGTAGCAAGCGTTGGTGGGAGCGCGGGGAAGGGAGGCAGCAAGGGCACGGCCGCGGAGTGAAGGGCCACCAGGACATATTTAACACCTGGCAAATGCTCCTCCTTTTGCAGCCCGAAATTTGAGCACGAGCACAGCCCACCGGGAAGAGTTCGAGCACCGCGCCAAGCGCCTGGGGCTGGGCAAGGAGGAGATCGTGTACGCGCCATGGAAAAGGGTACGTGGCTGCTCACGGGTGGGCGAGGGTTGGCAGAGCCGCTGCAGCCCCCGCACCAGGCAAGGGTGCCAAACCCCGGGCTGTAGCTCCAGTCACCAAACTGGGGTCTTGGAGAGAGACTCTCAAGGTGGGGGAAAGGATTTAGGGGACTAATTAAATGCAGGTTTGGTTCATCAGCAACGGTGGTTTAAAATAGCATCCCCCACAGACACGTCACTCCTGAAAGCAAATACCTGCACCTGAGCAACCTGGTGGAAAACTGGTAACTGCCTCTCCCTGCTAGGGTGGAGATAGCTAAAGCATGGGACTCTTTTTCCCCCTAAAATTCCTGGGTTTATCCTGAAATTCCTCGTTTTGCCCCCCCAGCAGAGGCCAGCCACCCCCAGGAGCTGCAGCAAAGTGCAGGGGGGGCCGGTGCCCTGGGGCACTGCACAGCTCTGCTTCAGCCAAACTCAAAACCATTTAAACTTCTAAAAAGCTCGAGTTGTTTCCAGACTGGGATTTGCTTTTCTGGCACCCCAAGGTGCTACCTGATGAGCAGGTTTGCAGCCTGGCTGGCTGCAAACGGGGTTCAGGAGGATTGCAAGGGCCAGTCTTTCTCCCATCCCAGGGCGGGGATGTCCAGCAAAGAGGCTCCTTTTGGGCTGGGGTCCAGCCCTGAGCCCCCAGCCCCATGGGACATCAGGAAAAAGGCAACACCATCCACTCCCACAAAAACAGACTTTTTCCTTTGGTTTTTCCACCAAAATGGTAACCAGACCCAGCCCTAGCCTAAGCTCTGCCACCTCATTTAGGACATTTTATCCTACAAATGACACAGTACCCAAGCCAGCTTGATAGGGCTCCCTTTTGCAAAGTAAGGAGTGAAAAAACACCTTACCTTTTCCTGTCCCATTCTGTCGATCCATTCCTGTCCTGGCCCTCTACTCATCCCCAGCAGAAGACTCTGAGCTTCCAGAGATCCCCAAAACCCCTCCAGCCTCAAAACGCTTCTTTTAGAACTACCAGCAGCTCAGGGCAACTGGAGACAGACACAGGTTGAAACCTTCATAGTGGGGGCAGGTCTCCTCTCCCCATTAGGCAACTGGCAGCACCTGGGCAGCAGGGCCCAGATCCCCCAAATTAACAGCAGGCAGCTGCTGATTGAGGGGGTTGCAGAGGCATCTGGATCACATTTAAATTTGGGCAAGATGAATGAAATTTAGAGAAAGGCAAGGTGAGCAGAATAAGGCAGAACTGTTTGTTCTTCCATGCTGCAGTGCAACTGCTGTTAGCAGAGAAGGGTTTCGTGCCCAGCTAAGAGGCAGGGCACCGCATCTAAGTAGTAAAATGAAACAGATTAAACAAATTCAGAATAGATTTTGGGGACCTTTGTCATCAGGCTGAAGAAGACGGACACGACCAGAGCACCAGAGCAGAGGCTCATGTACCCCTGCGTCAGCCTGAGGCATTAGCAGGACTTAAACCACACTAATTACAAGTGCCTGGGTAACACGAGCTTTTTACTTATTTCTCAAAGAGTTTGAATCCCCCTTTCCTTCAGAGCACACTTACTGACTCACCAGCATAGCACAGCTTTGCCCCAGAAACCTGGTTTCCTCTTTACAGCACAGGCATGGAAAATGGCACCAGCAGCAGCTTGGCACCCGGGCAGGTGATTGGGGCAGGGTGGGGAAACCCACAGCTTCTCTAGTCTCTCTTAGGCTTAATAATCAGATAAAAAATACTCCTTTCTACAGTAAATTCTCTCCTGCTGGTGCACTGACAGTTTCACTTATTCTTTTATTCCTGTTTTTGAAGGAGCTGTGTCAAACGAAAGAAATCAAAAAAGGAAACAGCCCATGCAGGGAGCCCACAGCTGTGGTCACAGCATCACCTCTTCCAGGTACCCACCAGCCTGGGGGCATGGGGAACTGATGCCACATTAGGCAATAAATGTTTTCCTCAAATTCAACGTGTTTTGTTGCCGAGACACTGGAGAGCAAGGGTTATGAAGAGATCAGAGGCAAGGATTGCCAAGAGAAACTGAACACCCAATTCACCTTGTGTGTCATTCAACTAGGAGTTGGGAAAAGTCAACCTCAAGCACTGAGCGATGCAAAACAAGGTGACACGTGGAAGTTTTTTCAGCACAGACACAGCCCGCTCAGCTTCACACCAAGCTTCGAGAGAGCTCTATCTACTAAAAAAGTCGTTCTTAAATGGAGCAGTAATGGAGGCTAACCAGGAGAGGGCAATCATTAACTATTTTAAATGAGTGTGCCAAGCATTTGATGAGTCACTGGCATACCTAAAAGGTTAGAAACTTACCTTTAACTGTAGAGTCTAAGAAGAAGAGGGTGCTTAGCTAGAAGCGACCACCCAATTCTCTAGACAGCAGCTTGAGGGACACAAGTAGCCCAGCTGGGGCAGATGCTCCTGCCCAAACCTTTTGGACTGGGCAAGGACTTCCCAATAACGTTCATCCAAAGCAGAGTTTGCAACATCATATGACGACACTGAAAAATTATCCTCCTGCCAGAGAGGGAGGGGGGTGCTAACCAAACCCAGGTTGCGTTTTTACTTCCCCGGAGAAAAACGTCATGTTTCCTTATTTCCCAATAAGCTCAGCACCCAGGAGGCAAGAAGGTCCAATGCCAAGATTCACATTGCTCTCCATGCCCCCAGTACACCCCTGCACTCAGACAGCCCTTATCACACCCCCAGCCCCAAAGGGAGGAAAGCCCAGTCGCTGTGTGCTTGTGAACGCGGGGGGAGTTTAGAGAGGCTGCTTTTGCTGCAAGTCTGCAGAGTAATTCAGCCTCAGCTCTAACCTACTAATTAAGCACTGAAAATATCTCTCTTCCTTAAAAAGGAAGAAAAGGAGAAAAGCTGGAGGGAACTGAGCGAAGAGGAGCGCCCTGCTCCTCCCTCTGCGGCACCAGGGTGCCCAGTCCCTGCACAGCAGCGTTTACTGGGCAGCGTTTCAGTGTTGAGCCTTTGGCCCGATTCCTGTAGTAAAAATGAATTTTACAAGGTCAAGCCCAGACGATTCCCTCCGGGTTTCAGGGCACAGGTACTCAGCCAGCCGCTGCTTCAGACACATCTTCATCAGCTTGTGACACGAAATACAGCCCCACACCTCCGGAGCGAGACAGCTGAAGGGTGGGAGAGGGCAGCGGGGCGAGCGGGGATGAGGCCAGCAGCCTTGAGCGCTGCAACGCAAGAGCACGTCGATAAAGAGTCTCAGCTGGCTGAAGCGACACCGCCGGAAAGCCGTGGCTCAGATTACAAGGACCCAGACTTTACGAGTAGATTTATAGAGGAATAAAAGCCTTGAATTACAGTCAGAGACATAAGGAACCAACAAAGCTAGTCTGGCCCTCGCAGCAAGTTTTGTTAACCAAACCAGAAGCCACCTGCACTACCAGCTATGGTTCCTGAACGACCTTCAAGGATAGGTCCTGGTTGGATTTTTATTGGTTGAAGAAAAAATTGTTTAAAGCCTTTCTTTTGAAAATCCTATAAGCCCAGGTTCCTTTGAGGGCATAACTGGACTCCCAGCTTTTCTGGGAAACTCACTTCTCTGAGCAGAGAGTTATGGATACTGCACAGATGAGCTAAGTCCAGCAGCACTCGAACAGGTTAACGGTACCCAAACATCCCTGACTCAGCACTACCATCATTAGCCTTGCGCTCAGGTTTGCTGGTTTTGCCTTTAAGAAGAATTCTGTTCTCCCAGGTTCTCATGGAGGCAATCCTTCCCAGCATCAGTGTCCTTGGTGAGAATCATCCCAGGAAGAGCCTGGCCACAAACAGCACCCTATGGAAAAAGATGTAGACACGTGGTATCTCTTTGACAGACCTTTATTAGCAGACTGTTCCCTACATGAAGAATCCGAGTTAGATTTGCATTATAACAATTTGTGGTTACAGCTACAAAGATGGTTGTCATTTTGCATTGATTTTTGCATTCTGATATTCATATTCCCATTAGGCCACACTGGTAGGAAGGAGCCACTGCAGAATTTATGACAGGTCTCAAGAAGGTGGGGGGTGGAAAAAAATCATATCACTAATCCAGACTGGTTAGATTTCCGTGTGGCTAACTACTGACAGCACTGGACAGGCAAGGCAGAGCCTCTCCTGGAAGACACTCCATGAACCACCAAAATCTGTCAGCAAAAAGCAGCTGCTGAGTGCTAGTAAATCCTTTTCTGATTTCTCACACACCTCTCCAGGGTGCCCGTTTGCATGTGAAGAGCCCTGGTTCAGCAGCAGGGTCTGCTGATTCAGCCTCAAAGCACAATTGCAGCAGCTTGTGTCCGAGTGCAAGTTTCCTTCCAGCTCTCTGGAAACTTGTATTTTCTTTAGTCCCTGAGATTTCTCTCCTCCCTCCTTACCAAAAATTCCCCAAGATTGCTCTCAATTAGCCATTGTGACATCCAACATACACAGACCTTCTACTTCCCAACTTCAGCCATCCACCTGAAACCCTTTCAGCTGTGCACAGAGGCAATTCCAAAACAAGGCGAGCCTCCCAGTGCACCCTCTCCCCTCCTCCCAAGGTACGGCTTCCTCACCAGCTCCCTTCTCTCCTATGGCTTCTTGCTACAGAATTTCTCTGGGCTGAGGTCCTCCAGCAACAACCAAGGACGTGGGAAAGGCAGCTCAAGCCCCAAAGGGAAGGTACACAAGCAACTTTAGCGAACCCTTCCCACAACTCAGCTGTGTGATGTAAGAAAACAAATAGAGAACTCTTTAAAACAGGAGAAATACAAGCACAGTAACAATATTTAAACAAGTCTATAAAAATAGTCTGACATAACTCTGTTCAAATAAATACAAAATAAATATGCTTGAAGCAGTAAAACAGTGGAATGCAACGCTGGTCCATTTTGCCCAAAATGAAAAGTTGGATGAGGATCTCCCAGGCCTCAGAAGCCAGATCCCATCAACTGAAGTAGCCCATAATGCAGTCAGAGAAGTTTTAAAGCCACCTCTTTCCCTTAGCCTTACGAAAAGCACCCTTTGAAAGAACAGCAAGCACATCTTCAGGGCTGAAAGCTCACCTCTCCCAGTGACAACCAGCCCCTCACCCGAACACCCCTTCCCACAGCAGACATACTCCTGGTTTGGGGACTCCATCCCGCTAATGCAAACCTGAACATTGATCTACAAAGAGGTCTAAAGAGATAGCTAGCAGCGGAGGCACGGGGTTTGGAAAAGGTCCACCAGCTATCCTCGGCACCAGGCAGAATGGAATTCAGAGGTCCATGCAACACTGCACAGAGGCTCTCGTGTCGTGCTGGGAGCACAACTGCACAGGAGCTGTGAAATATTGGTTTTGCTCACTAAAGCCATGCATCAAGGTGCCAGTCCATCCAGGGCAAGCCTTCCCCTTTCCAAGCCCCTGCTGAGTATAAGACAAGCCAATCCCGGCATGCAAAGGATACAGGCATGCAGGCTCTAGTCTGCTGCTTCTGTTAGTAAGTGCATCTTGTTAGTGGATTTAAGAGACACACTTCAATCTATAAAAAATAAATAATCCTAATTCTTCATCAGGCTGGCCTAAGTAACCTTCAGCCTGACTGGATAAACTGCCCACCAGCCCTCAAAACCAGTATAGTTCAAAGTTACATTTCATGTCAAAGTCTTGGAAGCAGAACATGAATGTCTCCTACCCAAAGGAATATATGTAAACATAATAACAAGCCTGGTGTGGCAGCAGCTCCTACACGAGGTTTGTACAAATTTAAACAACAGGTAGGAAGTTAAATAACTGAATGGAAAAAGAAGCTCTCTGAATGGAAAAAGAAGCTCTTCCAGCAAGTCAGAAGGTGCTCATCTGCAGGCAAACGGCTCTGCACACACAATACGCTGAAAGCAGACCTGTTACCCAAATCTTTGCTACTCTGCCATACGGCTGGGAACTGACCTCCACAACTCACGCCTTAAGATTCTCCCAGGAGTTTACCTCCTGGTTCTCCCAAAAGGTCCAACAAAAAGGACCACATGATGGTTTATGTGGAGCTCTGAGTAGCAAGATGGCAAAGGACGTCAGATCCTCCCCTCCCCCCGACTCACAAACTATCTGAGATTTCACAGCTTTGCTTAGTCAGCTTAGTGTCAACACATTCACAGAATGAGAGATGGCTGTATGTCTTGGGATTGCACCCCAAGATTTCAGAGTCCAAAGTCCTCGGCATCTCCTGGTCACCGTGACTGCACGCCCAGAGTCATCTTCAAGTTTTCATAAACCACGTAGCTGATGCTTACAGCTGGAATCACCTTCATAAAGTTCGGTGCCAGACCCCGGTAAAGGCCAAACGCTCCCTCTGTCTTCAGAATGTGTTTAAACAGTCCCCGCATTGTCACTTCCGGAGCACCCTCCACTGAAGCTGCAACAGGGAAAGCCACAATAAATAATACAGCCTATGTGGTGAAAACACTCTAAGGTAACCCTGTCTCAAAGAACAGTTATAAAATCATAGAATGGTTTGGGTTGGAAGGGACCTCAAAGATCATCTAGTTCCAGCTCCCCTGCCATGGGCAGGGACAACCTCCACTACACCAGGTTGCTCAAAGCCTCATCCAACCTGGCCTTCAACACTTCACTTCCAGGGATGGGGCAGCCACAGCTTCTCTGGGCAACCTGTTCCAGTGCCTCATCACCCTCAGAGGGAAGAATTTCTTCCTTATATCCAATCTGAATCTCCCCTCTTTCAGTTTAAAACCATTGCCCCTTGTCCTGTCACTACACGCCCTTGTCAAAAGTCCCTCTCCAGCTTTCCTGTAGGCCCCCTTTAAGTACTGGAAGGCTGCTAGAAGGTGTCCCCAGAGCCTTCTCTTCTCCAGGCTGAACAGCCCCAACTCTCTCAGCCTGTCTTCATAGCAGAGGTGCTCCAGCCCTCGATTGTGATTCAAGAGCTTCCTGTGGATGTTCGCAGAGCAAAAGTATTTCATGGGGGACCACATTTAACTTCTCAGCAAGCCATAGCCATGCTGCATGTCACAGCCATTTTCTCAAACCACTCTGCAGACCACCCTTAGCTCCAAGTCCTGATTTGACCAAAATAGAACCCTCTGTCCTGGAGGTGCTTGGCCCTAGATGCTAAGGGCAGCACAAAGTCCACTGTCCTCCTGCAGCGTGGCAAACGGCTCAGCTGCACAGGCCAGTTAAGGCTGTTGTTGCAATGTTTACACCAGAGGACCTTTATCCTGCTCAGAGACCATGACAGGAGCTCCCACAGTTCCCAGAAGTTCTCACCTTGGGCCTGCATGCGTGTCCTCACAAGAGCCAGTGGGTAACTGGCAAGTTGTCCGCAGGTACTGGAGATGGTGCCACAAGCCAGCAGAACAAAGACTCCAGGGTCAGCACTGTTGACAGCATAGCGTTGCAACCAGGCATTTTTTAGTGTCTGAAAGGAACAAGACACGCATTATCAGTGAAGAGGCAATCAAAAGAATATCATATTACATAAGAGATCTAGCATAAAGGCCCAGAAAGCTACGTGCAATTTCAGCCAGAAGCACTAGGCTTCTCCCATCTTTTTGAGCTACTGCTACTGAAGGGCCCAGGGAAAAACCCTTCTTTAACTTTCTGATGGAATTTTCTCATAAAAAAAAAGAAGCAAGGGACCATGCATGATGATGACTAGGAAAGGAGGATCACTACTGGTTTATCTTTTAGGCCATTTTGGCTAAAAGTCCATCTGTGGCCCTTAAGGTTGACTGGGAAAGTTGTGAAAGTTACTTAAACTCCTGTAGTAACTGACGGGTCTGGCAGTGATAAAGCCACACAAGCAGCACAGCCCTACAGGAGATTAAAGACTTCATACCTCATAGACCGCCAGGTCAATACCAGCGTACGGAATGATTCCCAGCATGTTGGGGATGTAGCCTTTGTAGAAGGCAGCCATTCCTTCCTTTGAAAGGATGTTTTTAGCACAATCCAGCATGCCTGAATATTGTCCTGTCTTCCTTAGAGCCATCCGTGTTTTCAGAACCTAGAAGACAACAAGAAATGCCTTGAAGTTCTATAGGAGAATCAACAGGAGAAAAACATATAGACAATGTCATCCCTAAGAGCAAGATGGTCAGGACTACAGCAAGCGTCATGCGAGCAGTAGTATTTGGTTTCATCTCCAAGAACTCAGTAATCGAGCTACCAGAGCTGGTGTTCCACCCACATTTCCCCATCTCAGCACCTTGCCACGATCCCTCAAGGGCTGGACTATCAGCCACCTGCCTCACCTCCATTGGGTAGATGCTGCTCTGTGCAATGGCCCCAGCCAGAGAACCAGCTAACAGCCGCTCGTGAATCCTCAGCATTTCTTGGTCAGTACCAATGAACCGCTTGATCTGTAGAAGCCAAGAAGAGACAGATGTTGAGCGCACTGATCTATCTCAGCTGTCTTCTTTTCAGCTTGTCCTCCTGCAAACCCTTCTGCAGCCAGACTTCTCTGTGTCCTTTCACTCACCTGCTCATAGGCCATGAACTTAATGGCAGATTCCGGTGCAATCTTCAACACATTGATGCCATTCCCTCGCCACAGTGACCTTGGGCCACCCTCTCGGATCATTTGAGTAAAACCACCAACGATGCACATGTTGTTACTGCGGGAGGCATGAACCTGGAAGAGAGAGAGAGCTTGGATTAGTTCCAGTCCTGATTACGACAGTGTTACGTTTTTGCATAATCCAGGGACAAAAGGGCACTTTTTTTATTTACCCAGAGATTTGCCAAGGCTTTAATCCCTTCCAGATAACTTCTACAGTAGGAAAGCAAGCTTTTCTTTTTTGCAAAGTCTAGTGTTAACTAATGAATCTAATCAATATTTCCCTCTGGAGTAGGGGAAAAGCTTAAATAGGCAACTCCCATACCTAGTGTAGGATCAGTTACCCAGGATAAACTTCTCTGCTGGCTCAAAAGCAGGTACAGCGACAAAGCAGGCTAAAATCAAGTTTCTGTAACTCCTTTCTAACACTGATACTGAGTACATGCTCTGCCAGCTGACCACCACAACCACTTCAGGCCTCAAGGTCTCTCCCCCAAACACAAGAGTTGAATCTGTTTCACCAAAACCCAAGTTTTTCCAGTGCTCTAATCCACAAAGTTCTCTATTGACAGTTTTCACATGTCTATCTCCCAAAAGATTCTATTTTTTCTAGTTAATGAAGAATAACTTCTTAACATGACTTTGATCATTCAAATAATCCAAAAAGCTTTCAAAAATAGCAATATAAGAGCAATTAGAGAGCAAGAGATTAATCCCAGCGAGAGGCCCTATACTGCGTTGATGAACACTGTCACTCCTAGGCATCCAAGAACATTAAAGGAATCTGCCTGGGTATTCAAACAAACTGGAACTGCTCCATCATACCTGCATGAGCACTTTCAAGCGGTCCAAGGGAGCTGTACAGGTTCTGGACACGGCACCTGCACCTCCACCTGCAACCAGATGTCTCCACCACATCCCTGTCTGCCTCTCTTCCACGGTGAACTCATCAGGGACAGTCAAATTCTCTCCTACATCAAAGATCTGCGGAAGTATAAGGTGTTGAGAAATGTTTCATCAGCCAGTGATCCTGCCAAAGTTTTATTGCTCTATCAGTCTTAAATGCTGAAGTACGGGATATGCTTATTCCAAGTCAGCAGCTTACTTATAGCCATTAACTGCTGTGTCTGCCCACAGGAACTGCCACTGCTATAGTACATCACAGGGAGAACCTTCATATTCAGAGATTTCTGCCCAAGAATCTGGCAACTGCTGAATATTTGTCTGCATTAAAACACTGCAGATCACAGTAAGGAACAAAATGACCAACTGAGAGCTGCTGCACGGCAAAAAAGCTGGACCTCTCTGGAACCTTCCAGGCTCGCAGCCAGTTTAATCTCGTTACATGCTATTTAAATATCTCCAGGAAGGATGACTGCACGTCAAATCAGTTTCTAGTCTTAACAGGTCCTGAACCAGCAGGGGCTGGCCACTGGTATGAACTCTCAGAGGTGCAAGCCAAGTGAAAACCCTCATCTTCTTGCAGAACATGCAGTTGTTATCACCTGTGCCAGAGGCTTCAGAAGCCATGGCAGTGATAGGTGGCAAGATAACAGGGCAGGACAGGAAGCAATTGGGTTTCTAGGCTACAAGGCAGCTATTGAACCATGAAGAGAAAGATAGGCACCTCCGATAGCAGCTCCTGGGGGTCAGGACTGACTGAGAAGCTGGGGAAAGGCCAAGACCTGTTGCAGAGGAACCATTTCTTACCGTGGAGTGCTTCCAGTACAGGATGATTTCAGGAATGTTCTCCACTGGGTGCAGCAGGTGATAGTCTCGCCACTCGTTCCAATCAATTGTCATCGTCCCATTTTTATCCATGCTAAAAAGATTTATCATTAGATGAGTACAGACTCCCACTGGGTGACAAATTCCTCCTCCCCTTCCCTTTGATTATTCAGGCCTACACGAAAAAAAGCTTTGCAAAGCAACTACTAAAAGATTTCTAAAGAGACACAAGACAAAGCTAGGAAATATTCTATTCACCAAACACTGCAAGAGGTAGAAGCGGGCTCCCGTTTTCCTCCCCTCTCTCTCCCCCTTAACTGACCCACAGGAGAAGTTGCACCCCCTCCTACCAAACTCAGGGACATAACTGACACTGAAGGGAAAAGAATACTTACTAGGTGACAGGACCCCAGAAGTGTCCCGTCCTTATTCTGACACACAGGCAAACAGACAGGGGGAAGGTAGCAGAGGAAAGAAAGAGGAAAAAACAGCACAAATAAGTGGTTGTTAACATGTTAGTGCCACATGCATAAAGCACTCAGCATTTCCAAAGAGCAACTGCACAGTCCTTCTCCAAAGCAGCAAGCTCAGGGTAGCAGGACAATCAGACAGGGATGCAAAGCAGCTCAAATGCAAGCACTTCCCCACACAACGGGTCAAGAAGATCAGAGATTCTGACACTAACTCTCCATAATGCATGACAAGAAGTGTGAATTCATGGAAAAAAAAAATCAAAATGAAGAGTAATAGGCAAAAAGGGAGGAGCTGAAGTGTCTGGAAAGCATGTACAAGGTAGAAAGAGGAGATGGGTTCCATGTCCCTACGTTTCCTTCTAACCCACTCAACAGTAAAACAGAAGACCCAGCTGAATCCTCACCTCTTCAGTATTTTCTCAGCCTGCTGTTCAGAAATCTTGACTCCCAGGTCCCGAAGAGACTGTACAATCTCCTGGGCATCAATACGGCCTGCAGAGATAAGGTAGGGAGCTCAAACATACATATTACAAGCTAACACATGCCATAGTCTATTCGTGAGCATGAGAAAGGTGTTTACCGTCATTCTTCTTATCCAAACTCTTGAAGACCAGTCTCAGCTTCTTCTCATGATCTTGGAGATAATGAACAAACTCCTCAAAATCCAGCTGTCCATCCAGGTCCTTGTCTCCAGCCTTCACAATTTTCTGTTCAGAAAACAAGCAAAAACTGTCAGTTCCTTTGTTCATTCAGATAGATCTGCCCCTT